AATAAATGAGTATAACACAAGAGAGAACAGGCTGGTCTTCTAACTACCTCCCTTCAGTGCAAACACCCATTCACAGCCAATTAGCATGACTGCTCTGTCTAGCATTAGCTACCCCTCATCTAACTTCTACTCTCATTACTGTCGTTTCTTCTCCTCTTCTCATATCCACCTCCAGCCCTTCCTCTCGGTCTCATTAAGGCAGCATCGTAACACACTGAATCATAATAGGCGCTCTATGCTGTGAAATGGCTTTAGCTCGGTTTCGTCTCATTGCTTGCAGCTGGAAAATGAGTAAACAGACAGTCTGTTCCGCTCAGACAAAGACCCACACCAACACCAACACACACAATTAGGACTGTCCATTAATCTGGTGTAAAGTAGCTTTTTCTCCCTGCCCGCCTGAAGGAATCTCTGATATGAGAAAGCAACAGCGGGGGCTAATCTATAGGAGCTGCCATGCAAAGCCATGTACTATTCACTGATAATAAATGAAGGAATCCAACCGAGGAGAGAGTTTAAGGGGAGTTGATGTAAAAATGGAAGGAATYGAAAATAGAGAAAATAAAACAGAGGAGCGATGGTCAAGCCAGGACGCCAAAGGGTGAGACAAAAAAAAACTTTCACACAATGGTTTGTCTTAAGCAAAATCCCACATAGGAACAAGCTTTCACAAATAAAGCTTCACCTAAAGAGACAAGGAACTCAGCTGCACTGAACCTGAGTAGCACACTGACAGATGTCTCCCTCGGTTCTGAAAACACAACAAAGTAACTCATCTGAACAAACCTCTTTGTGTCCTGATGCATCTCAGTAATCCAGGTAAAAAATCAAAAGGAAAAAAATTGTATAGGTCCTCTGGACGGGTTCTTCTTTAATGAAACATTTCGTCTCTCTTCCAAGAGACTTCTTCAGTCTGAGAGTTTCAGGCAAAATTCAGGCTTTTGAGTCCTACCTCCAGGTGACTGATACTCACAACGATGGCTATCGTTCACACCTAATTAACACCTATTGTTAACGGGGTGGAGTGATACTGCCAATGGCAGCGCTGTAGGAGGGGGACAACTGAAAACGGTGGCCTCCACCTCTGTTTAATGATGGACGGTCTTTCTTCACAAAAAAAATGGCTTCTTTTACTCCTCTCTCAAACCAACGTTCCTCTCTATCAAGAATGAGAACATCCTCATCTCTGGCTACGTTCACACTGCAGGTCTTAATGCTCAGTTCCGATTTTTAGAAAAAATCCGATCCGATCTTTTTGTGTGAACGTTCACATTACATTTTAAATGTGACCTGTATCAGACCCCTGTGTGAACGCTCCACAGCACTGATGTGACACGCATGCGCAGTAAAAGACGTGACGTCTCATCAGCCAGCTTGTTTGTTTACAGAGCTAGCATGGATGCTACATTTTGCGCATCGAATCAGAAGTTGTTGTTTAATCAGAGCCGATTAAATTATTATCTGACCTGCTTCCTTAGTTCAGTGTTTATATCTGAACCTACCTCTGACCGGGATGCTCCAGTGAAGCTTTTTTTTTTTTTAAAGAAACTACGAGCTGGAAAAAAGTATCGACCGAGTATCGAACTTTAGGATCGATACTCTCCGCGACCCAGGCTGGACATCGTTATTATCATACTATCTACGTGGAAAATGAAAAGTAAAAAGATGAAGCAACTGGACTTGTGTTTTGGAGCTGTAAACACACGGAGCTGCAGATTTAAACAGCAAGACTTGAGGTTAGTGTCTTATCGATCCTTCACACCCTCCTCCTGATGAAAAAGTCAGATGAATGTGACATGAGCGTTCACACTGCAGTCACTTTGAAAACATCAGATATATATCCGATTTAAAACCACATACTGAAACGGCCTGGGTCGGATTTGAAAAAATCGGATTTGTCGCGTTCAGACTGTCATAAAAAAATCGGATATGAGTCAGATGGGTCAAAAAAATCGGATTTGGGTCGGATTTGCCTGCAGTGTGAACGTAGCCTTTGAAAGAGTGACCGCTGGCCTGTAAATGAGTGAAAACTGCAGAGTTCT